GGAGAGAAAAGGAGGAGGCAGAACGTTGCCCTTCCCAGTTGGCTCAGGGAAAAGCAAACTGCTGCAGTGTCTCCTAGCTTGTCTTCTCTTCTTCATTGATAATTGTTGCTATGTTGACCACACTCTGATTTTGCTTGGCCACACGTCTCCTAACTTTCATCTGTGAAATGTTGGAAGACATGGGATTGATGTACTGCAGGTGAGAGGTTGGAAGTCATGATCTCTTGACGTTGCAATTACGGTGGGTGAAATCATTCTTTGGTTGATTCCACACTCACCTTGCCATAGTGATTCTGGCCTGGGAAAGCACTGAAGATTACTGGTGATGGTAACGATGTGAAAAGAATTGAATTCTTGTTTGAGGAGAATGGAGAATGGATGCATTAGAATGGAAATATAAGCCTGACAGATGCTGGGCTTGCTGAATTACCTTTGCCATTCACCATCGAAATACCATCTTCTGGCAAAATTGTTGCTCCCGAGTAGAATTTGCAGGAAGTGGAGCTGCTTGGCTGGATTTTCTCTTCTTCTCTGAGATGCTTTTGTGATTGACCAAACCACAGTCCTGAGGACTTCTGGGATGACAGAATTGGGAATTTGATTTGCAGTTGCTGGTGGTGGTTTCTTGGGCCCACCTTTTCTTCCTTACCTCTTCATGCCTGCCTCTGCATGTGCTCTCTACCTGTCTGTGGATTTTGGTTTTTCCTTTCTCCATCTTTCCTCTTCTGACACGATTCATACAATTCCCCTCTCCACTTTTGAGCTTTCATCTGGGGATTCCCCTCTGCCCTTTCCTGTCGTGTATCCATTTCTGTGAAGCATGTGCCTGCCATTAACATGTGTCACTAACCATCCTCCATTGTCTGTTTATCCCACCCGATGCTCAGACCGTATGTGTGGTAGCCCCAGGGATCAGGCGCCTGAGCATGCTGGGTCCCACCGACCCCAGAATGGCGACAGGCAGACTCAGCATCCAGGGGATACCTGGAGGGGTCCTCCTCTCCTTTCTGAGGGGATGGACTTGGAAGTTTTCGGGAATTCCTCAGAAAAGAGGAAAGGCCGAAGCGGCCAACGGCGGGACCGAGAGCGGCAAGAGAGGAAGCCCGGACACCCCGAGAAACTCCAGATGCATTCTCTGGAAATTGAGGATGAAGACAGCGATCGAACTAAGGAGAGGCGGAGAAGGAGGAACCCAGAGAGTTTGGAGAGACCTCGGGCGGCATCTTTGCTGGATAGGGAGGATGATCATACCCTTGGTGGCAGTGGAAAGTCGCAAGAAAGGAGGCCACGGAGCCATGAGAGAGCCCAAAGGCCATCCCGTGTTCTCACGGAAGAAGACAAGTGGGCAAGTTCCAATCACGGAGACCGGCATCACCGGTATCGGGAAAGGCGGTCACCTGGCTCTGGGAACTCCTTGCGGCCATTGAGTCTGGATGCAGAGATGGAGGGAAGGGGCTCTGCCTACCAGCGTTACGGCAAGAGTTGTTCACCGAATCCGGACCGACGTAGGGTCCCGTCCCGTGAAGGGCGACACTCTCCAAGGGCCCCATCCCAGGACCGTGGGCACAAGGACTCAGAGGTCCCTCCAAAGCGAGGCCGCAAGAGGGATATTGGAAAGGAATACAAAGGAGTGGTGGACAGAGAGACACCCTCTTCTTCCTCCTCACACCATGGGGAGAGCAGGGAACCGCACTCGGGTCTCCCCCGGAATCCAGGTAACCGGATGGGTGGGGGAGTCCATTTATCATTGGTGCGTTGATGGCCATACTCTTTTAGGAAGAGTCTGGGATTCAGTTTCTGATTGTGTCTTTCTAAATAGTTTTAACTCATCTCTATAGAGTGAAACATTTCTTTCTTCAGCTTGCTTTGATATTTCATGTCCCTGATTTGTTTTCTTTTAATGTTGCCGAATTGTTTTGCAAGAACATGATAAGGGAGATTAAGTGTTACTCAAAGTAACAGAAGGTACCCACAACCAATATGTATTGGGGAATTTTATTAGCTCAAGTAAAGCTGATGAGAGGAGTTTTGAGCAACTAAAAGCAAGGATCAAGCCTGTGTATAGCGGTTCTGAAAAGCAAGCTCAGAATGCAAAGTCCAAAGGTAGTTTGATTTATACAAGCAAATGGAGAAATCAACTTTCACACAAAATTCCTTAAATTTTATGACATTTTTTGGCCAATGCACATGAGTGAGAATCAAATGCTTTTTGTTGTAGTCAAACCATGCTATGGACACATTTGCCTTTCATCTTTTACTGTTTTACAGTATTATTTCAATAATTAGGAACTGGATTTTTAATTCTTCAAGAACTGTGGCAATTACCTTTTTGTTCTTTTGGATGAAAAGAATTTTGAAATGCAGAGAACTGGTCAAAGTCAGTTATTAATCCTGTTAAGAATTTAAACAATGTTGGTAAACTGGGCTGCTGCCACACTGCAGAATGAATGCAGTTTGACACTGCTTTAACTGCCATGGCTCGATGCTATGGAATCCTGGGATTTGTAATTTTTTGTGGCACTAGAATTCTCTGACTGCATTCACACCACTTTAACATGCCTCAGTGCTATGGAATCTTGGGCTATTTAGCCTTCTCTGTCAGTGAGCTCTGGTCCCACAACAAACTACAAATCCCAGAATCCTATAGCATTAAGCTGTGGCAGTTAAAGCAGTGTCAAACTGGATTGTTTCTGCAGTACAGATGCAGCCTCTGACAGAGAAAGCTAAATATCTCAAAGAACTACAAATGCCAGAATCCCATAGCATTGCGCCATGGCAGTTAAAGTAGTGTCAAACTGGATTATTTCTGCAGTGCAGATACAGCCTCTGACAGAGAAGGCCAAATATCTCACAAACGTGAAAATGCCAGAATCCTGTAGCATTGAGCCATGACAGTCAAAGTGGTATCAAACTGCATTGATTCTGCAGTACAGATGCAACCTAGGCAAATGGGCAGTATTTGCCTAGAATAACTCCTTTTTCTCCCTGTCCTGTGCTTTTTCCCCAATGCATTGGAAAGGGACTGTCGCCATCCAAATCAGAGAGAGAAAGGGAGAAAAAATGAAGGACTTTTGCCAGGAATATGCATAAAATGCAAATCTAACGGGTGGGTGGGTGAGCCCTTTGCAAAATATCAGTGTCTAATTTCGACCCTCTTAAATCCTATTGAGAATATTCCAAATGTGTTGGGAAACAGCCATGTGTAGAACAAAAGCTGTTTTTATCATTTTGGATGGAGAGGTTGGACTCAGCTGTCATCTGGCTTTCCTGTTTCAGTTTCCTCCCTCCAGGCTGCAACGGAGTCGCTGCCGAGTTTGAAACAAAGGCGCTTGTGTCAAAATGGTGTGGAAGTTCCAGTGTGCCTTATTTATTTTATTACCTAAAAAAGGAAAAAAAAGAATAAGATAACTTACTGTCTTCAGTGTAGAAAAGCAGATTTGTTGGAATCTCAAATGCAAACAGGACATAAAATGAAGAAACTTTCAGTAGTACTGGTTGAGGGTGTATCCACTCTGCAGAATTAAAACAGTTTGACACCACTTTAACTGCCATGACTATCTTACCAGTTTAACTATGATGATTTATCCTGGGATTTGTAGTTTGGGAAGGCATCAGAGTGCTCTGAATGACCAGGCTGGATACCTCATCAAGTTACAAATCCCAGTAGTCTGTATTCAAATACAATATTCCACATACAGATCCCAGTGTTCCAAACTACAAATCCCCATATTCTGTAGGATAGTAATGACAGTTAAAGTGGTGTCACTCTGATTTAATTCTGCAGTGTGGGTACACCCTCAACCAGTACTACTGAAAGTTTTTTTCCCATTATACTTGTTTTGTAGAATACTTGTGTTTTTATATGCAAATAATGAGATCCGTTGGAGATGGCACCTAAACTTAAACACAGAATTCATGTATGTTTCATGTGCACATAATGTGAAGGTAATTTTATGTAGTATTTTTTAATTAATTTGTGTACGAAACAAAGTTGATGTAAATTGAGCTGCCAGAAAGCTAAGCTGTCACTGTCTCAGCCACCCGTCAAAAAAGTTCAGGTTTTTGGAATATTTCGGATTTTGGAATCCCAGATAAAGCAGGCTCAACCTGTAGTAGAAAGCAACTTTCAGTGGTACAGGTTGAGTCTCCTTTATCTGAAATTCCAAAATCCAGAATATTCCAAAATCCAAAACTTTCTTTATGGGTGGCAGAGATAGTGACACCTTTGCTTTCTGGTGGTTCAACGGACACAAATTTATTCATGCACAAAATTATTGAAAATATTGTCTGTAAAATTACCTTCAGGCTGTGTGTATAAGGTATATAGGCATCCCTCCCCGTTTGCGGACTTGGAGTCTGCGGTCTCGCTCATTCTCGGATGGCAAAGGGGAAGGACAAAATGGTGTGCGTGCAGCGCTGTGCGCATGAGCACACCCCCATTGTAACCAATGGGGACTTCAATATTTGTGTTTCTACAGATTTGCGGGTGGTAGTGGTTCCAGAACAGAGATCCCCCATGAATTGGGAGGGATGCCTGTATATGAAACAGAAATGAATTTAAATATATAGCCATGATCGTTTGGAAAATCAGACTAGGTGCTACGGGATCCCTTTGCATACTAATAAATTGATTTAGTGTTTTGACTTGGGTCCCATCTTGAAAATAATCTCATTATGTATCTACAAATATTCCCAAATCCAGTAACAATAAATTAATAAATAAAATCTGAAATCCAAAACACTTTGGTCCCAAGCATTTTGGATAAGGGACATTGTTTAAATATTTAAGTACCCTAAAAGGTACCAGATCCCATCTGATTTTGGAAGCTAAGCAGTGTCCGCCCTGGTCAGTCCTTGGAGAACACCAACAAATACCAGGTGCTGGAGGCTCTGTTTGCCAGAGGAAAGAACTGGCAAAACCACCTCTGAGGATTCCTTGCCCTAGTCATCCTCTGAGGCTGAGAAAATGTGACTTGCCCAAGTCCACCCAGTACGTTTCATGGCTGAGCTGGGAATCAAACCCTGGTTCCCAGAGTTGTAGTCTAACACTCAAACCATTACGCCATGCTCACTCTCATCTTATTATGTATGTATATGCAAACACAGAGCCAGAGTTGTGTAGAGGTTTGAGCATTGGACTCTGGAGATTCTGGAGACCAGGGTTCGAATCCCTGCTCAGCCATGTAAACCCACCGGGTGACCTTGGGCAAGTCACATGTTCTGCACAGGTATTCCAAAATCCCAAAATAAATCTGAAATCTGAAATACTCTGGTCCCAAACATTTCAGATAAGAGAGATTTAGCCTGTCTTAAAAGCCCTTTTACCTTTGGCTGTTAGTTCCCATAGGTCTGTCTTTTCCTACTTTTGGAAGGGCACTCCAGAGGACATATAGTCTTTTAGGCAGGGAATTCCAGAGCTTGGGAGCAGCTACCAAAAAGGCCCTGTCTCCCATGTTCCCAGAAAATATACCTCTGAGAATGGTGGATTGGAGATGCTCAGAAGATGCTCAAAACAGGTTTAATGGTTGCTTCATCGTATATATGTATGGTGTGGGTCCAAGTTAGGTGAATGCAGTCCTTTCCATAACTTGGACCCAAGCCATTTAGGCCATCTAACCAGGCATCGAACCTCCTTGTTTGGCTTGCTGACCTGTATGTGCCAACAAAATCTCAATGTTGTGTGTTGTGTGCCTTCAAATTGTTTCTGATTTATAGTGACTCTAAAGCAAACCTATTACAGGGTTTTCTTGGCACATGTCTTCTGAGGGGGTTTACCATTCCCATCTTGTGAGGCTGAGAGTGTGTGACTGGTCACCCAGGGGGGTTCTATGGCCAAGCAGGGATTCGAACACGGGTCTCCAGAGTTGCAGTCCAACGCTCAAACCACTACGTACGCCATGCTGACATCTCAGTAACTCTGGCAAAAGCTCCTTTTGTGGATTGCATCTCTCAGAAACTCCAGATCCGTTGGCTGTGGTTCTGGGGACTTTTGGAAATAAATTTCCAAAATTACCTAAAGGTTATCATAAAACCATCAGGGGTGGGATGGCGGGGATAATGGTTCCTGTTTGAGCCAAACAATGACACTCGGCTTCATCACAACTCTTCTCCTCACACCTCAGGAAAGATGTGCTTGTTGCATTTGTTTGGTTCCCATCGGCTCTTCTTCCACTCCATCGAAGTTTCCTTCTATCTGCAACAATAGTCAGAAATAATGTGAATATCTCTGCATAAACAGATCCTCGTCTCCATTTCCTGTGGATGCGTAAACATATCGGGCTCCCTGGGGTGTATGTTGTGGGACTTTGCCAAGCGTGAGTCACGAGGAGAGACATATTTTCTGTTTCTTTTTGGTGCCGAGGAGACAGACGCACACAAGTCCCTTCCTGAGAAAACTTCTTTAAGAGAAAGGAAAAGGAGCATCAGTTCCTATGTTCAAGAGATGCAACTCCTCCAACAGTGGTTTCCAAAGCTTGAAAAAGTTCATGTTTTGGACTCTAGTTCCCACAATCCCCCACCATCCTATGTTCAATAGATACCGTTCCTCGCACAGTGGGTTCCAGAACTTGGAAAAGTTCATTTTTTGGACTCTAGCTTCCGTCATCCCCCACTGCCCTATGTTCAAGATATGCTACTCCTCCCGAAGTGCTTTCTCAGAGTTTGGGAAAGTTCCTTTTTTGGACTGCAGCTCCTAAAATCCCCCAACCAGCCTATGCAGTTTATCTTACGAGACAAATCCCATGCAGAAACTAGATTTAAAATAAAAACAAACCATTTTTGTGGGTTGTTTTCCACATGACGTTCGGGGTTAACCCAAACAGAAAGTAGAAAACCCACAAATGCAGGTTGTTTTTCAGGCAACGTTTGCGTGAAAGAGAAATAACGCGAAAATAACACGAACAGAAAGCTGACAAAACCTGCTCCTTTTTACTTTTGGGAAATTCCAGAAGTAGAAGGGAATGGTTTTGTTGACTTTCCATTCAGGTTATTTTTGCATTATTTCTCTTTCTGCCAATGCATCTGAAAAACAACCCGCATTTGCGGGTGTTTAGTGGATTTTAAAATCCCATTTTTGTACGGGATTTGCCTCCATGTGATAAACTCCTATGTTCAATAGGTGTTCCAGACATGCAAATCTTCTTATGGTGGTTTCCAGAGCTTGAAAATGTCTTTTTTTGGATTCCATTGCCCAGAATCCCCCAACCAAACTGTGTCCAACATGTATCGATCAGAAGCGTTTCTTCCCACACTTTGGGAGGTTGCAGACTGTCAGAAATAGTGCAAATTGAGTCCACTTTTAGGGTTAGGGTTAGTGCTAGGGAATCATGGGAATTGTTTTTTTTCTGAGACATTGAGCCTTCTCTGTCAGAGAGCTCTGGTGCCACAATAAACTATAGTTCCCATGATTCCCTGACCCTAACCCTAAAAGTGGACTCAATTTGCACTATTTCTGGCAGTCTGCAACCCCCCCTTTGTTTCCAAAGCTTAGAAAAAGTAATTTTCTGCTTTTTTTGGCTTTTTTTAAAAACCGGTTAAATGGATGTTTTGAAACTTGCTCTTACCATTATAATCTGATCAGTTAGGTTTTAGTGACGGTGCTCTTTTTATTTATCTATCTATTTTAATTTGGTGAACTGCTTTGGGGTCCCAGTTGCAGATCTGTGAGTGAGAGAGGCAGGATAACTAAACAAAACAATGGAAGGCTGCAGTCTTTTCTGGGATAAGTAATCTGACTTTCCTTTTGCAGGAACAAAATCAAAGGGAACAAAAGAAGCCTCCTACTCCAAACCTCGACCATTAGCAGCCCAGGATCAGGAATTTTATGATGCTGAGATCGCCCGGAGGTTGCAAGAGGAGGAACTGCTGGTGAGTGAGACAGATTATTTATTCCTTTACTTATATCCCATCATTTCCCCAGTTCAGGACTTTTAAGCAGCTTACAACTAAAAGCAAACATACCTTATTTTCCTGCGTATAAGACTACTTTTTTACCTGCAAAATCTGTGGCTAAAGTGTGTGGGGGGGGTCATCTTATACGCCGGATATAAGGATAGGATAGGATAGGATAGGATAGGATAGAGGTGCTAAAACACTATATTTTGACTGGGAAAATGGGGGGATTGTCTTATATGTGGGTCGTCTTATATGCCGGAAAATACGGTAGGTTAAAAATTAATGGCGTTGTTGTGACTGTGTGCATCATTTCTGACTTATAGCAACCTAAGGCAAACTTATCACAGGGTTTTCTTGGCAAGATTTGTTCAGAGGGGGAGTTTGTCTTTGCCCCCCTCTGAGGCTGAGAGTGTGTGACTTGCCCAAGGCTACCAAGGGCACATTCCCACTAGCGTTTTTGTACTGAGTAGATCTGGGGGGATTCGATGATGCAATACCGAATGAAAGTTCCCACTACATTTACCTTGATCGAATCTCTCCGTGGCAATTTAACCCTGTTGACGTTCACATTACCATTTGTGGCAATTTAAAATGGAGCCGCCATTTTAATCGTTCTTGGGGGTTTTTAACTGTCAATCAAATGATGCATCTATGTCACACTGTTTGGGGGAATTCCCCCCCTTCTGTCAGCTTCGGAGGATGGCAATGGCAAGCCCCGTTGAACAACCCTTTTCAAGAAACCCTGGGATAGGTTAGCTTTGGGGGGAGTCACACTCAGCCTCAGAGGATGGCAATGGCAAGCCCCTCCGAATAACCCTTGCCAAGAAACCCTGGGGTAGGTTAGCCTGGGGGGAGTCATACTCTCTCAACCTCAGAGGATGGTGATGGCAAGCCCCTCAAAACAACCCTTGCCAAGAAGCCCTGGGATGGATTAACCTTGGGTGAGAGTCACACTCTCTCAACCTCAGAGCATGGTGATGACAAGCCCCTCTGAACAACCCTTGCCAAGTATCCCCCGGGATAGGTTCACCTTGGGGGAAGTCACACTCTCTCAGCCTTGGAGGATGGCGATGGCAAGGCCCTCAAAACAACCCTTGCCATGAAACTCTGGGATGGATTAACCTGGGGGGTCACACTCTCTCAACTTTGGAGGATGGCAATGACAAGTCCCTCTGAACAAAACTTGCCAAGAAACCCTGGGATAGGTTTACCTTGGGGGAAGTCACACTCTCTCAGCCTTGGAGGATGGTGATGACAAGTCCCTCTGATCAAAGCTTGCCAAGTAACCCCTGGGATAGGTTCGCCTTGGGGGAAGTCACACCCTCTCAGCCAAGAATGACCCCTAACATCCACCCCCACTAATAGGCTTTTTTTAAAAAAAAATGTCAATCAAATCATGTGCACCTTTGTCATACCGATGATGCCAATATTAAAAGGTACTGTGTACTGCGGCCATGCAATAACAAAGATGTGCATAAGCTGTCAAATTTTATTTTATTTTTTAAAAAAAGTACACCATCTAATGATGTTTCCAGGAGAACCCCCTCCCTGGCGTTGGCTTTGGCTTTGGCTTGGCTGCCAGGAAGAGAGCAAAAGGGTGGGCATGATCCGCTCCTACGCATTAACCTCTCCTTTCCTGTGCTCCAAATTGAATCGACATCAAGTTCCCATTTGCGGATGGTAAAAAAAGACCAGTTCTTTTGAAAGATGTGCTAAAATCCCTGGTTCCAAAAGAATTAGGTTAAATAGGTTTTTTGCCAGCCCCCCTTGCAAACTGCACCGAGTCTACTTGGTGCCAGTGTGAATGGCCCTGAAATAACCTGGTTTCCACACACTAGGTTATTTCATAGTGTGAATGGGCCCCCAAGTGGGTTTACATGGCTAAGCGGGGATCCAACACTTAAATCAGTATGCCATGCTGGATCCCTTATGGTTCACCTATAACTATATTAACTATATAATTATAGTTGTTATAGTTCAAAAGATCAGCTCTTTTTAAATATGATCAGCTCTCTTTAAATATATGAAGGGATGTCCTGTAGAAGAGGGAGGCAGTTTGTCTTTTGTTGCTCCAGAGACTAAGGTTGCATCCGCACTGCAAAAGTAATCTGGGTTGACACCACTTTAATCGCCATAGCTCTGTGCTATGGAATTCAGGGATTTTTCATTTGTTGTGGCCCCAGAGCTCTATGATATGGAATGCTAACTGTCACACAAAACTGCAGATCCTAAAATTGCATAGCTGTGTTGTTGCACATAAATGTGAAATAAGCAACTATTTGCACCCCT